CCAGTCAGCCTGGGGAGGGGTGGCTGTGGGGGGAGCCCCGGGGGATGTCCCCATGCTGGGGAGGTGTGCACTGGGCAGGGAAGGGGAGGTCACCCCAAGCATGGGATGCAGCTGCACCATTTTGTTATACCACGATGCTCTTTTCCACAGTGCTGGGCTCGGCTTTGCCTGCCCCTGTCCCCGTCCCCATCCCTGTCCCCATCCCTGCCCTCCAGCCCCTTCTGCGCTGACAGGCTTTGCCTCTCACCCCCAGATTCAACAAACACCTGGACCGTGGCTTCAACTCCTGCTCCCGCACGGACCTGTACTTTGTGCCCCTCGACGGCTCCAAGCTGGCAAAGAAGAGGGCAGACTTGGTGGAGAAAGTGCGGCGAGAGGCTGAGCAGAAGGCGCGGGAAGAGAAGGAGCGGGAACGAGAGCGGGAGCGGGAGAAGGAGCGGGAGCGGGAGAAGGAGCGGGAGCTGGAGAGGAGCGTGGTAGGTCTGGGGGTCCCACAACCGTGGGCGCAGCAGGGGCGAATGCTTGAGGACCCTGTTGGCTGCTCCCCACTGGGACCCTGACACTAGTCTCTGCTCTCTTGCAGAAGATGGCCCAGGAGGGCCGGCCGGTGGAGTGCTCGTCCCTCGGGCCGGTTCCTCACCGCCCCTCTTTTGAGCAGGGCAGTGCTGTAGCGACTGTTCCCCCATACCTGGGCCCCGACACCCCGGCACTGCGCACCCTCAGTGAATACGCACGGCCCCACGTCATGTCCCCCAGCAACCGCAACCACCCGTTCTACGTGCCGCTGGGTGCAGTCGACCCGGGCTTGCTGGGGTACAACGTGCCAGCCATCTACAGCAGTGATCCAGCGACGCGAGAGCGAGAGCTGAGGGAGCGGGAAGCCCGTGAACGAGACCTGAGGGATCGGGACCTGCGTGAACGTCTCAAGCCCGGCTTTGAAGTCAAACCAGCCGAGGCCTTCATCCCGCTTTTCCCTTCCACCCAGGGCTGGGCCACTTGGAGCGGGAGAGGCTGGCGCTGGCAGCTGGCCCGACCCTTCGTCCCGACATGTCCTACGCCGAGCGCTTGGCGGCTGAGCGCCAGCACGCCGAGCGGGTGGCTGCTCTCAGCAACGACCCTCTGGCCCGGCTGCAGATGCTCAATGTGACACCTCATCACCATCAGCATTCCCACATCCACTCCCACCTCCATCTTCACCAGCAGGATGCCATACATGCAGGTAAGGACCCCACGGTGGTGGTGCCCTGCTCTCCCTCCTACTGCGCCTTCCTTGCACTCCCACCCTCTGGACCTGGGGAAGCCCAGAAGCTGCCAAGACTAGACTTTGAGGCCCCAGATCCGCCTCTTCAGCCAGAAGAGGTCAACATCATGGTCATTCAGCCTTGCCCTCGCTCCCATCCCACCAAAGGCACTGACATTCGTTGCAAGTATCGGGGTGTCTGTGAGTGTGCCGCAGAGTTGTTTGCACTATGTCCTTTAGTTGTGGATCTCTGGGGATGCAGTATGAGTGCTGGGATCCCACTGGCTACCAGGGTGACTGTGGACTGCATCCCTCGCACTGTGGTCTGCAGAGGGAGTGGTAGCCCTGCTAACAACAGTTTTGACGGCATCTTTAGGACTAATGAAATGCTGGTTCTCTAGTTTGTTCTGTGGCTCTTGCTGCAGATGGTGGGACGGGACAGGAGAGAAGATGGGCTAATTGTAAGGACCTGGAGGCTGCTGCCCTTCAGAATTGGGTGGTGGTCTCTTCCATTCCCACATCCTACAGGAAAGCAAAGTAAAAAGATGTTTAGGGATGAAAATCTTAGGGAAGCAAAGCCCAAACTACAATACAATGGAAGGAAGTGTTGTGCCTGCTCAGGTGCTGTGAGCAATGAGTGGGATCTGGTGGCAGAGTCACAGACAGACATTCCCTCTAAGCAGCCACAACTACTCAGAGGTGTCGTCAGGTACAAATGAATGTCCGTTCCCCCACACTCTGTATCTGGACACTTCTGACAGTGAGTCCAAAACACTGGGAAAAGCAGTTTTCGTGTAAATAGTATCTTGCATCTCTCAGCCTTGGATAGTACTTGCAAACTTGAGTGCCTGGCACTGAGCACCTGTGCTGGATGAGACCTGGAAATGGAAGCACCCAGTATGAGTGGACACATGAATGACAGCCAGGGTGGCAGATAGGTACGATACTGGGTACGGGTGTGATTGCAGAGCAGGTCCTTGCAGAATCGACTTTAAAGTGCAGTACTACTTCTCCCTGAGGGGTGTAGGGACAGAGCTATGCTGGACTGGTTCATGGGAAATTCAGCACAGGCAAAAAGAATAATGCTCAGCAGCACGCGGTTCTGTGTTGTCAAGCCTTGAAATCATTCCATCCCTAACATACACCAACCTTCTCCACGTCTTTTTCTGTTCTGCCTTGCGCCTTTCTCCATGTTACCTCTTACAAAGCACGGGACGGTTATCTTGTGATATCTTTTCTTCGCAGCCTCAGCCTCTGTTCACCCTCTTATTGACCCACTCGCCTCGGGATCACACCTCACCCGGATACCATACCCGGCTGGAACCATCCCCAACCCTCTCCTGCCTCACCCTCTACACGAGAATGAAGTGCTGCGCCACCAGCTTTTTGGTAAGGATGCTCACAGGGTCTGCTGGTCTCCTCTGAAGAGTGTCAGCAGAACTCTAAGGGGCAGGGTGGTCGTGAGTGGTCACAGGACCAAACTGAGGTCTACTAAACAGAGCTCTGGCTTGGCGCAGGACAGACCTACACTGTCAGGGGATGAGCAAGTCCTGCACATGGGCACGGCTGGGGAAGGAAATGCAGTAGAGTCTTGGCTGAGCTATGGGGCCATGTGTGAGGATGGAGCTGTTCCATTAACTCGTTTGTCCTCTTGTTTCGTCTTTGGCTGCAGCTGCACCCTACAGGGACCTGCCGGGCTCTCTCTCTGCACCCATGTCAGCAGCACATCAGCTCCAGGCCATGCACGCACAGTCAGCTGAGCTGCAGCGCCTGGCTCTGGAACAGCAGCAGTGGCTTCACGCCCATCACCCTCTGCACGGCGTGCCGCTCCCGACACAGGAGGATTACTACAGGTGCAGGGACCCTTTCTCTCCACGGCCCCGAGCGAGCAGACCACTCTGTCCTCATAAGTACAGCTCCAGGCGCAGCCCTGGGGCTGGGGGTGGCAGAGGTGGTGGGGATGGAGAAGTGTTGCCCCTGGAGTGGGTGACTCAGCCTGAGCCTGCTCCTGGGAGCAGGGGATACCTTGCCACCGGGGTACAGCTGTGGGTTGGCCACCAGGAAGGTCATTCTTGGCAAGTGGCTGTTCGGTGGTTAATCTCGAGTGGAGCGTCAGCTCTTTTCTTCTGGGGAGGGGGTAAACTGGCATGTTTCACGCACGCTAATACAGTTGTGACTGATACCCCCGCCAAAATGCCAAACATTGGTAAGCGTTGGATGCTTTTGCCAAGGCAAGACTTTAAGTGCATGGGGAAGCACATTAGGAACGAGAGAGGTGCGTTCTTGCACCTTCTCGATAGCATCTCCTACTTCAAGGATTTGCAAAGCTTTCCAAGTCAGCAGCATGGGTCTAGACTAACAAAAGGCAGTAGGAGACACCGAGTTGCCTTTTTTCTCTCACACAATTACCTTGTTCCTCTTCTTTATCCTAGCCACCTGAAAAAAGAAAGTGACAAACCCCTTTAAATGGACTTCTACTGTCAATGTGACATCATCATGTCTTTCTCTCAAGAGGAGCAATCAATCAACCAAATCCTGGGGGAGGGGAAGCTGCAGAGTGACACATCCTGATCCCACCATGCAGATAAGTGCAAGAGAAGACGGGACAAGAAGTACAGGATGGCATCCTGGGAGCAGAAGGTGGAGGAGAGAAAATGGGGAGGGACTGAAATGCCGCTAATGGACATGAAACCATCGGTACATGATTTCAGCAGAGCTCTGAAGAAAACAGCATCAGCATTGCACAGAGCTCAAAAAGACAAAGACTGACGTGAATCCAGGGTGGCAGCAGCTCCAGCCTTTGTTTTGGGGAACAGTTGCATTGAATAAGAAGTGCAGAGCATTGCAGGACTTCGTGTACAGGGTGCTGCTGCCTTTTCTGCTTCTGCGAGGAGGAGGAGGTGCGGCCAAGAAGTAACTTAAAACCCAACAGCGCCTTTTTTTTCATGATGCCTCCTCACACCCCGTGCCCCCCTCCTCCCCCCTTTAGGTGTAAGATACTGCTTAGCGATACGGAAAAGCAACACGGAACTTTTTCAGATGAGCCGGAGCGGCTTCCCATTCTCCGACGTCCCTTCAGATGCAAACAAAGCGTGACGGGACCCCTTCAGAAGCGGCCCCTCCTGCCTGCGAAGGGCCCGGTCCCAGCCATGGAGGGG